CACGAACACGGACACCAGTGTGGTGACTGCCGGGGGAAGGGGGGTGTAAGGGGACTAAATGCTAATGGGGAAAAACACAGTGAAGATTAAAATAAAAAAAATAATGAGTCGTTCTCCAAACAGTGCAAGAATAAAAGCTCAAATTGTTTATCTAGAACAGAAACACTAGGTGGGGACATACATCAAACCAACATCATCAGACCATCCTTGTTTCCTCTCCAACACGCTCCTGCCTCATGGAAAGATCCCACATGGCATCTTAGTGCTGAAATAGACCCAGGAAACTGTGTAATCCACACCCTCCAGTCACCAGTGAGGAGCCCAGAAAAGAAACAGCTTTGCCCAATGTCTCACAACAGCAGTAAAGACAGAATGAGAGCTGGAGTCTCCTGTGCCCTATTTTACTGCTCCTTTCACAGAAAAATTTTGGAAGCAGTAGGAACACGACTGGGGCAAGGAGTCAACCAAGGCATTTGAAGAGAATTTCAAGACCATGAGACTGCAAAGGAAAGGACAAAATCATAACAGAAGAAGAAAGGAGAAGAGCCACAATCTGAAAGTGATGGGTGAAGGGGAAGGAATACATAGTGAAGCAATAGAACTGGCCAGAGAAAAATTCCATACAAAGAGAACTAGCCATTGTGATGCTGTATCAGCAAAACAGGGAAAATACAAGAGAATGACTGCACCTTCCATTCACCTTTGGGAAGCATGCTAAAGCCGAAAGTACTTTCAAAATAGAAAGGCATACGAAAGCTAACACTAACTGTAGGAAAATCACCTGACAGAGAGGCAGGAGCCGCCAGAAACTCCCAAACCCGTATCGTCTACTGCCATTGCCATTCAAGGTAGAGTTCGTGGATCAGCTATTTCAACATCACCTGGGAACTTGTTAGAAATGCTTATCGTGACCTGCTAAACCAAAACCTGCATTTTAATAAGATCTCCTCAAGATTAAGATGCATATACAAATTTAAGAAGCCCTGGCCCTGCTCTAAGAACCGAAGTGAGGAATTAGAACAAAGAGCTATTATAGGCAGAAACCAGTACTAGAGAGCTAGATAGAATTCAATCTGATTAACTAAATTATTTGTCAACGTGCCACACCATGGACAGACCCTGAGCTGGGTATTTTGGGAAATAGATGCTGGAGGTTAGGCACGGTTGGCATGGTGCCGTTAGTGGTGAATGCAGAAAGTACATACATGTGAGGAGGACCATGACTTGTGTTCCAAGAGGAAGTCAAACAAAATGGTATGGAGGAGCAAAAACTGAATTTGGAGGGAGATCAGGAAGCATGTAGCAACGGCACTGACTCAGACAGGCAGAAACGGTTATGGGAAAGTGGGAGGGCCTATTTCAGGCAGAGGGAACAGCATAAGCAAAGATGCAGAACTCAGAGGCCTGTTGGGTGCTCAAGGAACTTTGCCTTCAACCTAAGGCAGTGTGTTTTGGTTTTGTTGTTGTTGTTGTTGTTGTTGTTGTTGTTTCATTTTTTCAAGCAGACTCCTGATTCTGTGATGACGCTTCAGAGACTACTGATGGTAGGGAGGGGAGGCTGATAGGATTGCTAGGGCCCCATTTCAACCACATGAGATTATATTTTAACAGTGGATTCCACTAGTGGAAAATAAAATCAGAACCCTATCACGGAGCCAATACATAGGTACTTCTAAAATTATTACCTACAACTGTGCTTGGCACGCAGCAGGCACCCAAATATCCATTGAGTAAATTGACAAATGAGCCAATGAATCTATGAGATCAAAGTACAAAATGTGGAGTTTCTTTGGGCCTGGACTGCAAAGGGTCTTAAACATCAGAAGAGAGATTTATATGGCATTTGGTAGAGGGCACTAGGGAAAAGTTTATTAGCCAGTGACTGGGCTTGGCTCTGCTTTGAGAAGCTTATTCTGCAAACCAAGTGTAAATGGATTGGAAATGAGAGACTGGAGATGCGAAACTGGTCAGGAAGACACCATGGCAGACTCTGAAGAGTCCGAACAAAGGCATTGCTAAGGGAATAAAAAGATGAAAAGCAGGCAGCATGAGGTATCGTGGGAATGAAGTCTCTAGCATTTACCTGTGCAGTATACGTGGAAAGCAAAGATATCGGGAAGGTCCTGAGTGACTGCAAGAAATACAGAAATTAATAGTCACTCCTGTTCATGGAAGGAGAAAGATGTTGATTCCGACATGTTAGATTTGAAGCACCTGAGAGTAGTAATATAAAGCCATCTTGTAGGTGATTCAAAATGTCAATATGAAATTTAGAATGGAAAGTAAAGATAAGGATGTTAGTTTAGGAAGATATCTAGCACTAATAAAAGGACATCACTAATACATATTTAGCACTAATAAAATATCTAGCACTAATAAAATGAATAAAAAGTAACATGCAAAAAAAGCGACAAAAATCATCTACAAAGAGGATTGAGAGAAATACACAGAATTTAAAAATGAAAAATAAAAGGAAGGATAAAAAAGACCATATTGAGACATGGGGAACAGAGATAGGGGGTGAGGGGAAGGTGGCAAAATATAGTGAAATGGTGGGTTGGGTGAGGGGTGTCACAATAAAACCCAAGAAGTAAAAAGCAGTGGGAAATTGGGACAAACATGTTCATTGTTCTTTAAATGTTTGGAAGATATACGATCTTACAGAAACAGGAGACAATCAATTTTGCTTTTTATTCCTGTTAAAGATTTTTGCAAATAAAGCAGTCACACCTGCGAGAAGTAAACTAATTGCTTGTATTTTTAATATAAGTTATTGTTAAAAATCAAGCAATAATATCCCCAAATTCGGCTGGAAGAAAAAAATCTAAAGGGTGCTGGGGGGAGCAGTTCAAAGATTTAAGATTCTTTTCTCCTTTGTGTTGGAAGCTCCACACAGTGTTATTCTAGGTAGATGCTTCCCTTTAAGAGTTGTGCTTGTTTTGCAGGATTTTTATTATCTGTCTGAGCCAGGTCCCTGGCCTAAGAAGAAAGATTCTGAAAACACTTGATAGACTTTGATAGATCCTCATATAATAGTTACACTTCATAAAGGTATCCTTCAACTGGCATCAGGTCTCACTAATTGGCCATGTTTGGGTGACAAGTTCTTTCTCTGGCTCGAATGTAGAGGAAACGCCATCCTTGGTTTCCTTTCTACCTCAGTTTAAGAAGGAAACGTTAAGTTCACTGTTCTATTATTGCTCTGGGAATCTGTTTATTGGTCAAATGCTGTAAAATATCAACTTTTATTTTCTCTAGATGCTTCTTAGTGGTTATTAAACTATTATAAAAAGATCATTACTTAGGTAAAGTAAAATAATAGAATGCAAACGAAGTACGCAAGGAATGATACTGCAAAATATTTATATCACTAGGATGACTCCAGGGAGGGCAGTAATTTTTCCTTTGCTAGGCGAATTCACCTTCTCAAAAGAATTTTACTACAAATACAAGAGAGGTCAAGGAGAGCTACAAGAATAGTTATTTGATTTGTGGTTTTCATTCCAAGCTTCCTCCAATCACTTTTGGTAATCAGTAGGAGCGTAAATTATAAATCCACAAATACTTAATTTATGGGAATACAGAATCTGAACTACAACACACACTTTGACCAAATAAATATCTTTTCCACCGTAAAACCCTCAAGCAACAACAGAATTAGCAATGCAGTATTTGCATTCTCAGGACATTCATCTAATACACGGAAGGGGTGGTCCATACTCACTGAACGTATGGGGTCAAAATAAAATGAAAGGACTCTGAAAACCGGTGAAATATTTCAGGAAACTCTTTCAAGCCAAAACCTTAAACTTTATTTAAGTTGTAGTTTACTGACTTTATGAAAAGCCTCCTTTTTAATTTGATAAGTGCATTTCCTACAGCTTCCGGCATTGTTTTGAAGCTGCCAATTTGCAAGCTTTAGGTTGCACTCCATAAAGCAAATGTTTTATTTGTTCTTTTTGAGCATCTTTTGCTACATTTTAACAAAGTTTGCGTTCACCTTGGTGTGATGCTCCTGAGCAAAGCAAAACCAAAAGAACTGCACACCACTTCTCTGTGGGAAAATGAAAACAACATTCGCTAAGCCAAGAACTTCCTAGAGCATTCCAAAACTGTGTTTCTTTTGTACCCATGGGGGCAAGGGGCTTGATGGCAATTTATTTTCCTTGAAGGACCACAGCACTCCTCATTCAGCTTCACCGTAGAAAGTGTTTGTCCTCTAGAGCCTGGGAAAGCATTCAGGGAAGCATCGTCCTGCCAGCTCTCCCCACCGGCCCCCGCAAGTAGCAGTGGCGAAACAGATGGTCCTCCCTTTCCTTCTCCTTGTCCCTTCCGCAGTCCCACAGTGTCCTCCCATTCTACGCTGACACCTTCACCCAGAGCTGGGTAGCCTAGGACCCCCCGCCCCCCCACGCAGGGGTCCCAATAGCTGCAAACTTTGGAACCTTCTCTCTGCCTCACCGCCCCCATTTCACCTTCATTCAGCAGAAGAACTCTCTCTGGACCCCAAGCTTCGACTGCAACCTTCCTCCCACACCCCTTTCCCCAAATACCCATTTATTTCCCTAAAATGAAAAGAGAGACGTCCAGCCCTAAACTTCTTAGTCCAGGTGGCGGAGGCACTGCGGCTAACCACAGAGGGACACTCTCCCTGACCTCTCCCCTTCTCCTTCTGTCCTTGGGAATCTGAGCCCAGGAGCCCACAGTGGGAACTCCTCCACTCCTCTGGCTTCCATGACCTATTCCTAACTCCAGGGGCTCATGGGAACCTCACACCCCACAGTCTCGGCAAGCGGCAGCTGGGCGTCCTCCTCTACAAGTGGGACCGCGGGACAAAGTGGAAACTCCATCGGGAGGGGGGCTCCGGGCCATTCCCTAGCGCGGCGCGCCCAGGTGCCAGCTCGCCCTGAGGAGGCGGGCGGGCACTGGGCGGGAAGGCGGCGACAGTACGGGGGGCGCGGGCCGGGCCGGGTCGGGCTGGGCTGGGCGCCGGAGCTTACCTCGGTGCGCGGGCCGCTGGATCGTGGGGCAGTGGTTCCTCCAGCCCAGCCGGGAAGCTGTTGCTCGCGCTCTGGCGGCTGCGGCGGTCCCGCCGGTGCAGCGCTGGGGCTTCGCGCAGACGCTCTCCCGCGATCTGCGGCAGCCCGGGAGGTGGCGGAGGCGGCGGCAGCGGCGGCAGCGGAGCCGGCGACGGCTCGGCCCGGCGCGGTCACGAACAGTCTAACTCTTGCGGACTCGGGGCTGAGGCGCCGGACCGCGGCCCCAGCACTGAGCGCCTGCGCGCCCCCCCTCGCCCAGGTGAGGGGCGTGTGCCTGCAGCGGGCTGGGCGCGCCCGGCCGGGGGCTGCGCTCCGGCCCTGCCCAGCAGCCCGCCCGGCCCTCTGGCCTGGCGGAGAGCCCCAGGGTTTAGACACGCCAACGCCACTCCCGCGCGCCGAAGCTGGTGACGGTTTACGAGGCAGGGACCTGCGAGGCACACACACTAGGGTGAATAAGGCTGGACCGCTCAGGGGCTCGTTGACACTGCAGAGTCGCCCGCAGCATCGCCGCGTTTAAATCCCGCCTTTCCAGGCGTGCGCGCACAGCGGGGGAGAGGAGGCTGCGTCCCGACCAGGGGGTCCCGCGGTCTTCCGCCTCGGGGCTCCGGCCCCCGATAAAATTCTTGGCGATGGCAGAGGTCCCAAACCCGGGATACCAAGAGGCGCAGTGGGGCGGATCTTTCAAATATTAGTCAAGCCAGAGTGAAACTCTCTTCTTGAAGATCGTCTGACCAACTATTTGTTTTTCCTCTTTTATCGGCTCTCGGCTGGAGCACCACATGGAGCAGCCTCGGCATTTTTGGCGGAGCCGGGAAGGCTCGCAGCGTGGAAGGCATCGGAGCCTCTCTGGGATCTGAAAGCCTCGTGGGTGGGGGATCCTGCTCCCCCGGATTTCTTTTCCGTGTTTGTTTAAGTTTTCAAAACTAAAACATGTCGTCGGTTACCCTGATGTAGGGCATCTTCTGAAAACAGTACAAACATAGCCAAGGTGCTGAGTTCTGAAAGGGAGAGCGCTTGGAAATAAAATATTTAAAGGGAAAGAAAAAATAATTTTAGAAGAGCGGTTTTCTGAGATTACTTCTTTGGCTGGAGACGTGCAAGAGTAAGAAAGGACAAGAGAGCTGTGTTACCAGAGGTGGTTTTTTGTTTTGTTTTCTTTTGTTTTGTTTTTGACCAGATGATTTTAAAATATTCTTTGTTTTTTGTCTCAGATGATTGACACTAACTCCATCAATAATTAATCCAGCAGCTGTTAATGTCTTGGCATAATCGTCCAAAGTACTTTAGCGCCCAGTCAAAGCCAATGCTGCTCTCCAGGGTGGTCTTGAGATCAGACAAACACACGCAAAGGGTGCAGGTTAATTACTCACCTTGGAATTTAGGGTTCTGGCAGGCACCCGCACACCAGAGCTATCAGGTGAAGAGGAGCATCAATCTGACCTATAATTTTTATATTTTTAGAATTCTATATATCTTCACATCCAGGTAGACATTCTCACTTATCACTAAGGAAAGATACTTACTGGTATGTTTTTTTCTTAAAACTGTACCCTATATGAAATTGCTACAGAAGCAAGCACCAAAATGAAATCATCACCCAGAACAGGAGCTATGATAAATAACTTAAGCTGTCTTTTACAAAATTATGGTCTTAAGGTCTCTTCCCATCAGTAAAGTTTATTTTGAAAAGACGTTTTTCATGAGTCCCTGCAGGTCAGTAAGGTAGGATTCCAGTGGACTAAGATAGGCAGGAAATTCCAGAAGCAAAACCCTTCCATGAGAAAAACACCCAGCTGCCAGTGCCCTGCACTTCACAGTTGGGAACAGTGTGGTTGCTTCTGAGCCCAGATAAGTATTGGTATCTCCAGGCACCTGAGGTACAGAGTATGGGGGAGGGGCCCTTAAAGTATCAAGCCAACACCTTGGATTGCACTTGGAGGCAAATGAGTAATCTCTGCAGAGTGGAGCACCTGTGAGAAGTGTTCCCTGTGGCTTGCACAGTTTAGCAGCACGTGCATTTTTTTATGTCCTGCAAAGTACAACTATATCCCTCTCTCCTTCCTGTCTATTTTTAATCACCGATGGTAGAGAATAATTTGAGGCTTGCTTTCCTAACAGCTGGAAAAAAGCGTAAAATACATGCAGACAACTCCTAATTTTCCCCATGACATAACTAAGAACTGTGCCTTCATGTCCTTAGCCAAGCAAGCTTAAGGCCTCTGGAAGGAGTGCCTGCCTTCTAAGGGCACTTCAGCATGCATTCAACACTAAATTGAAAAGCACAAGAGTCAAATGTATGGGGGAAGAAAGACAGCTTTCTTTCGATTTTCTGATAGCAAATTTTGTGCTTATTGGGTAACTTGGCATTGCCTGTGCTTTTCCAGTGCTACACTAATGTAAGGGATCCTCTTGTCCTCAAACCCTCCCACCATTGTTTTCCTAGAACAATTATTGTTCATTCCTGTAAAGAGTGGAGTAAATCAACTTGAGACCTATTAGCCTCAGGAGAGGTGATTCGAGAGGTCTGTCAGGTTAGCAACACAGGAATAATGCAGCAAAGAGAGGTCCCTAAACATGGAGGAGGAACAAAGCAGAAAAGATTAATTAAGCCTTTTTCTATTATTCCTGTTATGAGGTGTGCGGTGCATTGGTTCCTAAACTTTGATTATCATAGGCAGACAAACTGCTTTTAACTATGTCCATAAATTGAACTTCCAGTGGATAAAGAACTTGGTAGTAACAAGAACAACATCAACAAATTTGAAGACTTGGTAAAGCAGTTTTACTCAATAAGAAATGGGTGAGAGCTGACACAGTAAGATGCTATGAACAAGGTCTTAAAGACATTTGAGACTGCTCTGCAGACATCAGTAACACTCTGGTATGGAGGCTGGAGGCCATATTTTGTAAACTACTCTTTTTTTGTTTTGTTTTGTTCAAATACACTTGTCTCTATTTTCCTGCCTCCACTTTCCCCTGCCCTGCTCACCCCCAACCTCCCTCCCTCAATCTTTCCCCACTTTGGCTTTGTCCGTAGGTCCTTTATACATGTTCCTTGATTTGACCCTTCCCCTTCCTTTCCCCATTACGCTACTTTCTCCTTCCCTCCTGCCACTGTCGGTTTGTTTTTTCTTTCAATGTTGCTGGTTATATTTTCCTTGCTTGTCTGTTTTGTTGATTAGATTCCACTTATGGGTGAGATCATATTGCATTTGTCTTTTACCCTCTAACTTATTTCACTTAGCATGATGCTGTCCAGTTCCATCCATACTGTCATGAAGGGTAGTAGCTCTTTCTTTCTTTCTGCTGCGTAGTATTCCATTATTTGCATTACAGTGTAAATGTACTATATTTTTTTGATCCATTAATTTACTGATGGGCACTTAGGTTGCTTCCAGCACTTGGCTATTGTAAATCGTGCTGCTATGAACATTAGGGTGCATAGGTTCTTCTGAATTGGTGTTTTGGGAGTCTTAGGGTATAATCCCAGCAGTGGAATCTCTGGGTGAAAAGACAGTTCCATTTTTAGCTTTTTGAAGAAATTCCAAACTATTTTCCAAAGTGGCTGCACCAGTCTGCATTCCCACCAACAGTGCAGTGGGGTTCCCTTTTCTCCACAACCTCGTCAGCACTTGTTTGTGGATGTTTATGATGGCCATTCTGACCAGTGTGAAGTGGTATCTCCTTGTGGTTTTAATGTGCATTTCTCTGATGGCTAGTGATGGTGAGCATCCTTTCATATGTCTCTGGGCCCTGTGTATGTCCTCCTTGGAGAAGTGCCTCTTCAGGTTCTTTGCCCATTTTTTAATTGGATTGTTTGTCTTCCTGGAGTGGAGTTGTGTGAGTTCTTTATATATACTGGAGATCACACCCCTGTCTGAGGTATCATTGGCAAAAGTATTTTCCCATCTGGTTGGTTCCCTTTTCATTTTACTGATGTTTTCTTTAGCCATGAAGCAAGAAATTAAGAAAGATGCAGAAAAATGGAAGCATATACTGTGTTCACGGATTGGAAGAATTAACATCATCAAAATGTCCATACTACCCAAAGCAATTTATAGATTCAATGAAATCTCTATTAAAATACCAATGATGTATTTCACAGACATAGAACAAACATTCAAAAAATTTATATGGAACCATAAACGACCCCGAATAGCTGCAGCAATTTTGGGAAAAAAGAACAAAGCAAGAGGGATCACAATACCTGACACAAAACTATATTACAAGGCCACTGTAATGAAAACAGTCTGGTACTGGCATAGGAACAGACACATAGATCAATAGAATAGAATAGAGAGCCCAGAAATAAACCCATGTGTCTATGGTCAATTGATATTTGACAAAGGGGGAAGAAGCATAAAATGGGGTAAAAATAGACCCTTCAAAAAATGGTGTTGGGAGAGCTGGACAGCTACATGCAAAAAAATTTGAAATTTGACCACCAACTTACACCATACAGAAAAATAAACTCAAGATGAATAAAAGACTTAAATATAGGTTGTGACACCATAAAAGTTCTAGAGGAGAACATAGGCAGAAAATTCTCAGATATCCCATGCAGTAATATTTTCATAGATATGTTCCCTAGAGGAAGGGACAAAAAAGAAAGAATAAACAAATGGGACTTCATCAAAATAAGAAGCTTCAGCATAGCTAATGAAAACTACGCTTAACAGTAGAATAAAACTAAGAATGGAAGACTCAAATTCCAATTTCAACTGTCAATTTTGAGCCATTTTCATTTGTAAGGCAGGACTAATTATATCAGCCTGGTCTCAGTGAGTTACTGTAAAATTCAAAAGACTTGCAGCATATGAAACATTTTGGAAACTCTAGGACATTGGTACCACTGGTTGATAATTGTCCTGCTCATATTTTCCTTTTTTCCCATTGCTTTTGAGATATTTTGCAGACTTTTCCTCAGCGTGCCTTATAGCTCCTATTCAGTTCTCCAGTAATTTCCACTATGAATCTCTCCTAATAGAGATAACTCTATTTTTGGATGGCTCCAACATCTTATAATGGGGAAAGCATGAGTTCTAAGAGTTAAATGAGCAGGCGTTCAGTTCTGACTTAGTGTTTACTCACTACCTGAGTGTTATTCATTCCCTTTAAAT